ATAAATAAAATAAAAATTATTTAATAATAGAGTATAAAATCTTTCTTCAAAATAAAAAGATTTAATTTTATGGAATAACTCTTTGATCTGTATCATTCATCTCTGGCACAATTTTCATCCTTTCATCCTGAGGGTTATCTCCCACTTCACCTAACTCTGACTTGTCAATTCCATCATCTCCCTCATTAGATCTAACCCTCAATTTCAATACAGTAATTTGATCCATAGCAAGTAGTATTAACAAGGTTATAACAAAACTATAACCAAGTCCTGCCAGTACAACAAATAACTGATATAACAATTGTATGAAATTACCATCCAACCAACCACCATTTATTCAAGTGGTACCATCTAATAAAGCAATCTCTTTTTGTGCAAATATACCAGTCAACAAGCTCCCTAAAGCACCACCTAATACCATGTATTGCAAACACATCCAAAGCATCATCATATCTCTTAATTTGACAAGAATGTTACAAATTACTCCTGGAAAAATACCAAAAAGCAACGATGATGGTATGCTAATATACCCAGCAGCAGGTGTAATGCACACCAATCCTGCCAATGCACCTGAACAAAACCCAACCACAGAGAATCTATGTTCGAATCGGTAATCTATCAACATCCATGTTAAACCACCCATTGATGCTGCTAGGTTTGTCACAGTACATACTAAGATTGTTCTTGTATCAATTGATAATACACTTCCACTATTGAAACCAAACCAACCAAACCAGAGCAGTGCAGTGCCTAGGATGACATTCATGATATTATGAGGTCTAAAATCACCTGTACCAATGTCTCTTCTTGGACCTAATACATATGAATAAGCCAGAGCAGCAGAACCTGATGAAATGTGTATTGGTGTCCCGCCAGCAAAATCAAGTCCACCCAAATGTGCAAACCATCCATTATCTGACCAACACCAATATGCAATAAAATCATAAACCAAAGTTGTCCAGATCACAAAGAATACTAATCCTGCCAATATTTTTAAACATAATATCATGATTTAATGTTAAAAAAAAAAAAATTAAAAAAAAAAAAAAAAAAAGTTATCGGTTACATTGATTCTCGGACATAGAAAAAATAAAAAATGTCATCGGTTACTCTTGATTCGCATTATTAATAAAAAATGTTTATTTATACACATCTAAACTCGATAAGTCAGACGCAACAATCAATTGTTTAAAGTATTTTATGTACAATATGCAGTATACTTATAACACATACGGTCCAACTCCGGCCGAGAAAATTCTATGCTTTTAGATAGGTTATGCTTATATACGATTATGCTTTTAGATAGGTTATGCTTATATACGATTATGCTTTTAGATAGGTTCTACTGTAATAAAGTTTTGAATAATATAATTAGAATTATTATCATCAATTATCTAAAACATATTAAATGGAGTATGAACATATTTATTTATTGTAATTAAATTTATATAATAATTAATAATGATTTTTTCTTAATTATTCTAGTTTATATTATTGAGATCATTACTATAACATTGCATTAAATTTTTTCTTTTCCAAAAATTATTATTAAATTCTTTCTTTGTATATTATGTATTAATTATCATTAATAATTGT